GGTCATAAAATAACTTTTGTTCCTTATATAATTCTCTACAACTTTGCTTAAGGTTGCTCAGACATGCAAACATCCTAAGCTACACTTTTTAGACAGTCAAACACAGGAGCTCTAGGGGTCCAAATTGGTCAAACCATGACTTGGAAATCTAATTAGGCAAAATGATCAACATGAACCTTGTTCCTAATGACATTCTAAGTATAACTAAGTTGTTTAAGAGAATTATTAGTCACACCACACATTGGTCACACAAGAACCAAGCATCACAGGCATTGAAACATGGAAGAACAAGTGAAGTGTTACTTTTGTTTCAAGGCCATGTTTCATATGTTTCATGAGTGTGTTGCATAGTACTAACTAACCTTGTTTCACTAAGTGAGTGGCACATGTTGCACTTAAGTGTTGCACACTTTACATTTCATAAAAGAAACAATACACATGAAATATACAACATGTTGCAATGTTTTGAAATCATGTTTCATGTGATATAAGTTCACGAATGGATGCATGATGCTCATGTTCATGAAATGCAGTGCAAATGTGGAGGCCAAACACCTGGGGTGTTACGTACCAGCTTTCGTCGAGCTGGTCGATGAAGATGATATTGGCGGTGAGGTGCGGAAGATAGTAGACGTTGGGGAGCGACCGGTGCTCGCCATTCTTGTAGGAGAAGAGCACGGTGTCAATCCCCTTGATCCACGCGATGGAGCCATCCCCGAACTGCATGGATCCGGTGGCTCCGGTGTCGAGGTCGGCAAAGGCTACGCGTGATCCCGACATATGATTGGACGCGTCGGTGTCTAGGATCCAGTGCTTCGGATCTCGGTCCTCCGTGACGTCGAAGGTGGCGTGGACCTTCTGCTCAACAAGGTGGATGGTGGCGCCTTTGTGGGTTGCCGGGGTAGCTAGGCGCGATGGAACTGGCGGCGGCGGCGCGGAGGGGAGCGAGCTCTCCTACTCATGGATCGGACCAACATACACGGCGCCATCACTTGTCGTAGGGAATGGAAGGAGCGGTGGAGCTGGCAGCGGTGGCATGAAGGTGTGCTGCGGCAGCGGCATGAAGGGGAATCGAGCGCACCTGCTCATGGGTTGGACCGATGGCTAGCATAAGAGTGGGCTCATCGTCCTGGGCGACATTGGCCTGCTCCTCCTTCTTGCTGTGGCAATCTCTAGCCCAATGGCCTTTGTTTCCACAGTGCTTGCAGGGGTCATCTGGACATGGACGGCCCGAGCTGGAACCAGACCTTCCATCGCCATTGTCACCGGTGCCGCATCCATGGCCCTTGCCACGGTGCTTGCCACGGCCGCCGGAGCCAGAGCCGCCGCGGCTGGACTCTTGACCCTTCTGCTTGTAGCGCTCAACCCACTGCTCCTCAGTGAGCAGCAGCTTGCCGGTAGCAGTCTACGGTGCAGGTGGCTCGACGTCGTCGGCCACCTTCAACCTCCCCGTGACCTCCTCAATTGACAACTGTGAGATATTGAGGAGGGTTTCAATGGAGATTACCAACTGCTTGTAGCGTGGTTGTACGGCGCGGAGGTACTTGGCCACCACTTTCTCATTGGGCTCGGGATCGGCAAGCATTGCCAGTCGCTGCACAATCCCGGTCAGGCGCAGGGCGAAGTCCTCGATGGGTTCACCGTTGCGGAGAGCGATGGTCTCATACTCTGCGCGGAGATTCTGCGCGGTCGCCTTTTGCACCCGGTCGTCGCCGATGCGGAGGGTCTTGATGGCCTCCTAGGCTTCCTTCGTAGTTAGCTTGGTCGCGAACGCGGGCACCATCTCTGCCGGGACGGCGCAGCAGATCGTGTTGAGCGCGTTGCGATCGTCGTCGAACTCCACATCGTTGTACTCGACGGTGTCCCAGAGGTGACACGCTTGCATCTTCAGCTTCATGCGGAGCGACCATTCATGGTAGTTCATCCTTGTCAGCTGCGTCCAGTTGCTGGAGCTGCTGCCCTCCCGGATGATACGCTCGATGACGACCTCCCGTGGACGGCGTGCGTCGCGGGTGCACGAACGGCGTGCGTCGCGCGTGCGTGAACGGCGAGGAGGGGAACGGCTTGGAGAAGGCGTGCGTGGTGGCATCTTGGCGCCGGAACCGCTGCTACTGTTGTTCTTCTTAGAGCCGTCGCCCTTCCTGACCGGTGAACGTCCACGGGTCTCGGTGGAGACGCCATGGCGACAGCAAGGTCCCTCGAAAGCTAGCTCCGATGCCACTTGTTAGTCTCGGATCGGCGGCGAACGCTGATGGCGAGGACACGACGCCAGAGACGGAAGACAAGACTCAAGTACAAACACAACAAACGCGAACACTTGGTTTTGGTGTTGCCTGAAAGCGCAGCATTTTCTGTAGTTCTATTTATCTTTTATTGGAATACAAAGAACAAAGTTATGCTCGCCACAGCACGCACGACGCAAGAAGTGTGCGCGTCCATCCCCACGCACCGCATTCGCCGGCCATGGCTGCATGCCCACGTGCGTGGCTGAGCGATTCTCATGCCATGATCTCCTACGCGCACGGCCGCCACAGCCTGGAGCTCACGCTCATACAACTGGCTAAAATAGAAAGATGACATACAATCCTAACTAACCGGCACACACAAGATTACTAACAACCGGCGCCTGCGCTGCTGCCCGTTCGCCCGTCCATGCGTTGACCGCGACAAATTCATTGCCACATGAGGTGGAGGGGAAGCCGTGGCTAGAGTCTGACTATCGTGCTGCCTTTGCTGCTGCATTGGCAAACGAGGAGTAAGCGCGGGCGCCGCGCACACCCCATGGTGTGCCCCGAAGGAGGCGCGGCCCGCGAGGCAGTCTGTGGAACGGATGCACAACGTTGCCATCGTCGACACGTGGGTGCCGGTGCCGGGCGTGCAGAGCTGGTCGACTCTGTTCGCTTGGCTTATAAGCCGTACTTTTTATAAATAGTAATTTTCTCTTACGAGCTATGACGAGAATAGGATTTTGGTTTGGGGTGATCGCCGGACGGCGAGGGGACGGACGACTGGCTTCGTCTCCTCGTGCGTCACCGCCTCACCGGCGCGGCGCTCGAGAAGCAGACGAGATCGTGGTGAAGCCGAGGTAGGCCGTGGGCGCGGCGCGTGGATACATATACCCGCCGTGAGACACAGGAACCTGCTGGAATCGGATCCGAACCGAACTGCGAGTGCGAGCCCGAGTCGGGGTCCAGCGCGTGGTATTGCCGAGTTGGCGTATTGCTGTGGGCCAGGGTCAAAACTGGAATAAAAAAAAAGTGATAACACGACAGGGGTTCCGTCATTCCGTGGCACCAGTGGGAAACTGCAAAAACGCTGTCCCGGCCGACTCTCCCCGTCGGCGACTCCCCTTCTGCTCACCGACTCTCCCAGCCGGCGAGGGGACAGCACCTTCTCCACTCATTACCCTGAGCGGCGTCGTCTCCCACTTTCTCCACTCTGCATTCGCTCCAGTGCAGATCCATCAGTCCGAAGTCGGGCCGCCGGTTTCTTCTTTAGCTGGTAAGCGACACAAACTCGGTTGTACGGATTGTTCTAGGGTTCAATCTAGGATTGGACCTATTCTTTGCTGTGATTGACTCTAAAGCAATGAAATCCGATACCCTTTGTTGTCCCTATTTCAATAGGTTGGATGATTTGTGTGCTGCGGGACTCACTAATCCGACCTAACCACGCGTAGTTCGATTAGGTGCTTCAGTGCGCGCCGCGCGGTTTTAAAAAAGAATCAGGAGGTTCGTCCGGCCTTGGAGATATTCCCCAGTCTGCTGCGTTTGATGCATCATTTTCTGATGGTAAATTCCGAATTTGTAGTAGTTTTTCTTCAAAAATTCCCATTCATATTTACTTGGAAAAAATAAATCGCCGTTGATAGTTCGATATATGCATCTGCATCTTTATTGTAACTGAGTATAATTCTTTGGCGAGGATAAGGTTGATGTAACCGATTGGCACGGCCCCGTTCGCTTCGCTGAAAAAACAAAGCCGAAACACAGTTCCGGCTGATTTGCTGTGAGAGGAAAACACTTTTTTGGCTGAAAAAACAAGCTGAAAAAGACGGATTATAAGAGAAGCGAACATTTGGTTGAACCAATGAAAACGCAAACGTAAATGAAATTGAGCTGCGGACGTTACCGGCGGGAATATATTTGAACTAGCTGGCGACCGATGTTGTTTACGTTTGCGTTACTGTAGAAGGAACCAAACAGCATGTAAATAGTTCTTTACCTGCATGTGCAGTATTTTGTCGTCACCCACTCTTGCAGTATGTCGCTGAGTAGATCTTACAATGGCTTACTCTTTAAGGATTGTAACGGCCAGCTGCGTTAGCGCAACTGTCAATTTGTTAGTTTTTATTTATAGAAAATTGTTCTGTCGTCACTACTGTTACAAGTAATCAGCAGTGCAATTATGTCAATACTAACACCCTCCCCTCCCCACATGCACATTACCGTTTCTAATTTCTTTATCCCATGGATTATAAGGTTGACAATTATTTAAGTTGGTTCATGAAAGGCCTTTTCTTTTTGTCAAATCCTCAAAAAACATTCGCGTGTTCTGAACAGAAAAATTTTGTACTAGCCCTGTCAATGAATGGCACACCATATGACGTTAGCCATAACTCTTGTTGAATAGGTGGTAACATAGATGTGGTGTGGCAAATTTGCACTTAGTAGTTATTTTATTTTATATGTTTTTGGTGACTTTACTGAGCACCATACATGCTATCTTTTATACAATGTATGCATGACCAGTAGGTAGGATGTTTTCCGGAGGATAGCTCTGAAACATTTGCTTTTGAAACGTGCAATTTTTCTAGTCTGTGTTGGTGATGTATCATTACTGAGATAAAGTACGGCTCTCTTGCACGTTAAACAGTGTTAATAATGATTTACGTCTTTTTGCCACTAAACTTTACTATAGTGGATACTTATGTTGTGACAGAAACATATAGCTAACTAGTAACAATTTAACTTGTCAGGGCTACTCTCCCTTTAGTGGTTATGGAGCCTCCCAAGAAGCATAAGTCCAGTGGCGTGCCAGTCAAGGAGGAAGTGGAGTCAGAAGATGGAAATGTAAAAGTTGGCAAAAAATCTCTTGCATCCATTTTTCTCATCCTCCTTTCAAATTCACTGCCACATGCTTGAGTTTACCTTTTCTCTCTGCAGATTAAATCTGTGTTTGTATTCTGATGGTGTCAGTTGCCCTCTTTGTAGGATTTGTTAGTCAAGCGCAGAAGGACTGAAGCTTCAGGGTCCACTGTCCAACTACAACAGCAAATTGAAGTCTTTGGCATGGAGAACAAAGCGCCGTCTGGTCTTCCAGTTGAAGATTCTACTGGCAAGGCTCCCATGGACGTGCTCACTAGTTGTGCAGTACAGAACTCTGGTCAAGCGAATGGTTGCAGTAAGGAGCATGTTTCTGATATATCTTTTCAATTTGATTACATATTAAACGACAATTGAAACATTTAGGCTTTATGGGCCTGTTTGGATGTGAGCCCTAGCAAACCAAACCAATATTTTGTCCAAGCCAACAAACATTGGCCACCATTTGCTTCAAGGTCAAACATTGGTGGTGCCAAATAAATTTTGGTAATTTTGGCCATGCCCAGTGGGACATCTCTTGGGCGAGTGAAATGGTAGCCTGAGTTTAGCTTGGTCATCTGTAGAGTGCATGGATGATATGTCAGTGGGAGTATGGTTACACTAATTCTTCAATTTTGTGATTATCAATTTTTAAACGGCAATAGCTTTTAAACCGTACATCAGTTTTGGGATCTGTCTGTACTATAGTATTCGTTGCAATTAAATCTACAAAACAAGATCCCACTTGCCTACATTTTGATTAAAAAACATTTATGACATCTGGACCTCACATTTTACACTATAAGTTTCAACGGATTTAAACACGGCCTTACTCTAAACACTCATTCTTCTTCATAGATACATTTACCCTGCACACAAATTGGCATGGCCTCAAACCAAACATCGTAGTTTTGGCATTGCCCACGTATTTGGCATTTCCAAATTTTGGTTTGGCTCGCTGGAGTTGCAAACCAAACAGGCCATATTTGCATTAATTTCTTTCATTTTTGAAAGTTGGCCAGGAGCTCTGGCATGCACTTGAGTATATATATGCATCAGTGCTCATGCTTCTTCCTTAACTAGATATCTGAAGCTAGGCTTCCTTTTTTTCATATAAGCTATTGCTTTACTGAAACAGAGGTTGTATAATTGTTTTACTGAAATTCAGCGGTTATGTAGGTAACGAATCGGCAACCTCGAGACTGCTGAAAATATGCAAGGCAATTGGCTGGAAAGAACCATCATATGACTTTGAAGAACAAGGACCTCAACATAGCAAAATGTGAGTTTCCCTACTAACTGATGAATATTAAATTAAATGTTCATGCACTTCCAATATTTATAGCGTGTTGTGCATTATGTCACCAAAAAGGCATCAGCCTAATATCCTATGATGCAATATTTATTTGTATATTTTTTTTAAAAGGTGAATCATACATAATATTCTACACAATATCGTTTACGGTACATTTTAATTTTGAGAGATTATGCCAATGCTGGAATATGATAACGCCAATGTCATGACTAATAAAAATACGCTAACTGCATTAACTCACTACACAAGCGTAACCCCGAACTGGGAAATCAACTGAAGTTCCATGAGTAGAGGCTTACCTGCAAGCTTCTGTCTTTTAACACAAGATATAGATTGGCATGTGAGCACTATGAAGCTCTATCCAATCTAGATGGCTGAAAGAACAAACAAAGGTGAGAATAAAGCTGCATTATTCCTAATAAGAATAAAACAACGAAGTCCTCGTTAGTACAGTTTGAGGAATAAGAATATAATTAGTTAAAGAAGTGGATCAAATTTTCTGAAATTTCTAGTTACAGCAAACCACAATGGTGTCATCCTTTTTTTGTTCTTTTCTTTTCGAGCCAGTATATGCCTACCTGTAACTCCTAAGTCCTACCGTCCTATGGTAGCATCCTCTGAAATGTGGTCAGAGGCCACCATCTGTTGTTTGTGTGATTCTTCGTAGAGTGATTCATAACTGCCCATGATAAGCTGGTTATTATGATTTAGAAATGGGAATCACTGATGTCTTATACTCTGCAGATTCAAGTGCAAGGTGACTGTCCACTTGGATGGACCGCTCAGCACCATTATGGAGTGTTTCAGCGACCCCAAACCTAAGAAGAAAGCTGCACGAGAGAACTCCGCACAAGGGGCATTATGGTGCCTTAAGCGCTCTGGTTATGTCAAGTGATCTTCAGATGTTCCTGAGTAGTTTATCCCAATATATGTGGATTGGCAAACAAGCCCACCAGAAGCTATTAGGCCTGTTCGGTAGACGGGTGCAGCAGCTGCAGCGAACACAGCCGGAATACCAACAGGATAGAAAGATATTTGTGATGTCGTAGCACCACAAGTTATATACAGTTTTGTTAGACCGGAACTTCAGAGCGAAATTCCGGTGACTTCTCCCGTGACTTGATAATGATGAGCTAAATGAAATTCGAATCCCTGACTTCTTGGGTTCTCCTTGGGCCATTCATGCTTATCCGTGTCTGAACTTGTTGCTGTGGCACATTGTGGGCCATTCATGCTTATCCGTGTCTGAACTTGTTGCTGTGGCACATTGTGAATCAATCATGGGGTGAGTTTGCCGCCGAGACGGGACCATCTGCCCTGCCGGCTGCCTCTGCCGGGCCTCTCTGCAGCTCGCCCTGCGGCTGCGGCTGCGGCTGCTGCTCAGCTGCGAGAAACCGCAATACCTGTGATCCCAACCCAAGCTCTGTTGGGAACCCACATTGGGAATTTGGGACTCAGAGCCCGCAATGAGAATTTTTCAGAAGAAACCTTCCCATGATGTCTGCGAAGAAAGCTATACACTAAGAGACCCTATTTCAAATTTACATTGACGGACCGCTTGTCCACAAGAGGACTTCAATGATCTGAAAATAAGAATGCCAAGTGCTGTAATATCCTATCCTATATGGTTCAACCGCTCAAGACCTGTGTGGCTTTGCCCATCGAGTGAGGGACAAAAGCACTGTAGAAATAGAGACCTGTTCATATATTAACATGACACGATAAAAAATTTAGAAAAAAAAAATGACCTGTTCATTGATATACGAGCAGAGATCAGAACTGATCGCACTTGAGCGTGAGGCACAGCTCCTAACATTTCAACTCTAGTCTGAACTCTGAAGGCAGAACTTCTCCCTCGTCTCTTCAAGTCGCACAGTGTTTGACTATCACCTCCAACAATAAAGCAAACCTGAGCCCATGGAGTCGTTTATTCACAAAATACAGCCGCCTGATCAGATCCAACACATTGTATACGTAAAGAAAGTAATGATGGATGGTGACTAGATGGTAACAGTAAGACACTAATATCCAACGGAGCTGTTCTGTCATACACTTCATTTTATGGCACAGGCATACCCGTAAAGGAAAGGCAAGGGAAAATGGATACACTTCGACACACACAGTGATACAGCTCTAACCCACCTTTGGGAATAGACGACACACAAACACTTCCAGACCTGGTCACTATCTGCAAGAGCAGACTGTAGCTATAGCACCGGAGATATTCATGTGAATGCTTGCAGCATCAGCAAAACCGTAAAGTAAGTGATCCGCGAAGACAAATTTGCAACCCACCATCCTAGCATTGTAGCATGCATCAACGCTTTGAATTTTTTATGGTAAAATGTTGGGAAAAAATGATGCCTGTGCACGACAGAAATGCATGTAAAAATGGTCCTTAATTATACAATTGGAAATGTCAAGAATAATGAGGCAAGATATTCTGCATCAGGAGAAATGGGCTTCGTACTTGTTGTGACTTGTCCCCGAGCATGCATAGTCTACTAGGTCCGGTCAAACTCAAACGCTTGGCACATGTCCTCGGTAACAGGATCTGCATCCGGGTGGATTCGGTCGTGACTGATACGCCATATCCATGCGTGCAATGGATCTTCGGATTCCTTTTTTTTTTTTTGGAGCAAAACGATCTTCGGAATTCGGATCAACAGCAGCCTAAACATCTCTCCCGTTTCAGTCAGTCCATGTCACGCTGTCATCATTAATCAGTTCCCGGCTGTTGCCTAGGCCCCCCGACCAAATCACGCGGCAAATTCGCATGGCGCGCGCACGCTGGCTGCCGGCTGAGGCGCCACCGTCTGGGGCCAGGCACCGGCGAGCGCCCAGCCCCCGGCGTTTACGCCCCTGCCGGCTGGTTGCGCACCGCACCGGCACCCGACCGACTCGCGCCCGCCACTTGATTCGGATCCGGAGGCCCTGGAACGCCGTCGGTTCGCCGTTCGCGGGGTCGCTGTCCGCGGTCATGGGGAGTGCTCGGCGGTGGCATGGTACCAGGCACCGTCGCCGTGTTTCTCCTGTCGCGGCACAGTTCGGCGGGTCGGACGGATCGGTCGCGCGGCCACAGGCTGGCGCGCTGTACTTGTCGACCACTTGTGTTGCTGCTGTCCGTGCTGGGCGCGGCGAGTTGAGTTCCCGTGCCTTCTGTTCTGCATTGCATGGCATTCACTCCAGCATCACCCGATGGCGATGGTCGGTCATGGTCGTCGGCGTCGCCCACCCCTCCTCCAGGCTCCAGCTACGGACATGGCCCACTTGCAAGCGGGCCAGCAGGGGTCACCGGCAAACCAATCGCGGAACACTGGCGCCGGCTCACCGTTGCGTTCCGACGCTCGTCCGCGCGCGCGCGCGTGCAAGAAAAAGAAAAACCGCTGCCGCAGTGCCGTGCCGCGCACGGCCACGGCCACGGCTGCGCGGCGTGCGCGAGGTCTCTCTCACGTTTCCGTGGTGGTGGGTCGATCGCCGGCGGGCGGGGCGGGTTGACCGTTCCTTTGCCTCGGCGCGGCGCTGAAGCCTTTCCTCTCGTCCTCTGACTCTCACCCGGCCGGTCTTACCTTGCCTGCGTCGTCTGTCCTAGCGTCCTTGGTCTGCCGATCCGGTCGTCCTCCGGTCCACGGCGCCGAACAAGAATCAGCGCTGAATTAGCGTGGTCTTTGCCTCACGTGCTCTGCGGCTACTGCCACCCGCCCGGCGCTAGGTGGCCCCCGTGGAAGTGGAAGTGGAAGTGGAGCACGGGCGAGGCGGCGAGACGGTTCGGTGCACCTGCGCGTGCGCGGCGGCGGTGCTCATTTTCTCCTCCCCGGCCGGCGGCCTGGTGTCTCATCGTTTCCTCCTTTTTGGGTACTCCCCCGATTCTTGGTTCCATCATGTCGTGTGTATTGTCGCGACCGGCATCGGCATGCATGCAAGCCTGTTCGGCTGGGCTTATAGGATCGTGGATTATAAGCTGGAACAGTATTTTTCTCTCACACCAAACTAGCCAGCAGTAAATAATCCACGATCGTTTACGACGAAACGAACAGGCTGACACGGGGGAGTATCATATCCAGCACGAACGAATCGAGGCTCCGGCTGATCGACCCACTCGTAACATGTCATGTCATGAGCATGATTAGTTTTTTTTTAGAACGGCATGAGCATGATTAGGTGTCGCCTCATGATTAAGCCTTGGCGAGCGAAAAGGAGCGGAGTGCCCTTTGGAATAGGCAACGCGGAGTGCAGAGAGTTGGTGTGCGAAGTTCTCGGCTTTCAGATACGGTATTAGTCGTGTCAGAAAGTAGTGAAGTTGACCAAACTTGAAGTCGTTGGATGCAAGTCCTAATTATTTTTTATTATTAGATCGACCTAAAAACCTTCTCAATTGAACTAGAATGACATTTCACGTAATTTAAGCAACTAAAATGACATTTGCCTATAATTAGTTAGCTAATAAAAAAAGCAATCCACCTGCATCCTTATCCAAGAACAGGGCTTGGATAGACTTGAGGGCCACTACTGTCCCAAAACCTTCACAGATGAAGGTCTACTGAAATGGCAGTGAAATAGTCCGAACCATCCAACCCCGTTCACATAAATAAATAAGACAAGATTCAGGAAATTGTGGGGAAATGACACTTGAGGCTACAACACACGTCACTCGCTCTCTTTTTTTTTCGAACTTCTAACAAGTTTACAAATGCTGCAACGTTATTTGACAGCTGAGTTTGCACGCTGTTTGTTTCTCTCGTTTTTTTAGTTCTTGTCATGCTACTGTCCTATGAATATTACTTTTTTTTCAACCAGGCTTCAACGTTCGTGAGGCTTCAACGTTTGAGAACCCGCCTCGTTATTAATTGCACACGAATCCAGCACGAATCAACCAGGCTTCGCGTTCGTGAACAATGCGTCTGACATCATGCACGCACGCGGCAGTATTATGAACACGCCTTTATTCGTGTCCTTGTCAAAAATTCAAAATTAACAACCAACGGAGGAAACTCGATCAAAACCCACAAGATAACCATCGTCGTCGAAGGAAACCCCGTGCAAGCTGCAGCTAGCGACGGTAGTCCCACTCCCAGTCTCCCACCGCACCGCCCCAGCTGGGTCCAGTCCAACGCGCCGAGGCCGAGCCGATCCACGGCGAGCGACACCCCCGCCCCACCTCGTCAGAGTTATAAGTATGTAATGTAACACCCCCGCCCCGCGGCCAGCACCCGGCGGACCTGCCTCTGGTCCAAGTCCAACCTCTGCGCGAGGCGAGGGCGAACCAACCGTCCGGAAAAATAAACCCCCCAAACGCCTGCGTTTTCAGCGCAAAATCTCTGTGGTTTCCGTTGCCATTCTATTCACCAATCACCCCTCCATCCCAAGTGCAGAAGGAGAACGCGCGATGCCCGACGCGATACCGGCCTGCTTCCGCGCAGCGGCAGCGCCCGGCGGCCGGGCGACGGCGTCGTCGGGGTCGGGGTCGGGGTCCGGCGGCTCCGGGGCGGGGACGAGCCTGGCCACGTCCGTCTACGACACGCGCCTCGGCCTGGCGGCGCTATCCTGGTCGCGCGCCGCGCTGGGTCTCAGCCTCCGCGCCGTGCTCCGCGTCTCCGCGGCGGGCTCCCCCGCGCCCTCCCCCTCGGCGGCGTCCGACTATGGCGACGGCGAGGTGGAGTACGAGGGCGAGTGCGACGACGAGGAGACGGTGGCCATGCGCGTGCGGCCGTGGCTGCTGTGGCGGCGGCGCGGGTCCAAGCGGTTCCGCGTGCGGGGCCGCCGCGTGGTGGACCTGGCCTGGGACCTCTCCCGCGCGCGCTTCCCGCCCTCGGGCGGCTCCCCGGAGCCCTGCTCGGGGTACTTCGTCGCCGTCGTGGTGGACGGCGAGATGGCGGTCGTCGCGGGGGACATGGCGGAGGAGGCCTACAGGAAGACCAAGGCGCGCCGCCCGCCCGGCCCGGCACCCGTCCTCGTCTCGCGCCGCGAGCACGTGTCCATGCGCGACGGGGGAAGCGGCGGACGCGGGCACCGGACCTGCGTCGTCGTGCGCGGCAAGGAGCGGGAGATCTCGGTGGATCTCGTCTCGCGCGCGGCGGCCGCCCTGGGCGGCCAGGGGCGGGAGAGGGAGCGGGAGCGGGAGCGGGACAGGGACAGGGCCGAGGTCGGCATGTCCGTCTCTGTCGACGGCGATCGCGTGCTCCACGTCCGCCGCCTGCGCTGGAAATTCCGCGGCACCGAGAAGGTGGACCTCGGCGGCGGCGACCACGTCCTCGTCTCCTGGGACCTTCATAACTGGCTCTTCCCGGCGCGCGACACCTCGCCCCCCGACACCGCCGTCGCCGCGGCCGCGGCCGCGGCTCCGCCCGCGCACGCCGTCTTCGTCTTCCGCTTCGAGCTCGCCGGCTGCGACGGCGAGGAGCGTGTCCCAGCCGACGACGCCAAGGAGAAGGAGCTACTCGACAAGGCCGGGGGAGGCGGAGGTGGAGGCGGCTGGGCAGGCTACGTTGGTAGGTGGGGGAGAGGGGGGGACTGGAGCGAGAGCAGCAGCAATGGCGAGAAGCGGAGGAGGAAGAGGGGGCAGGCGAGCAGGCTGGCCAAGGTGAGCTCCTCCTCGTCGGCGTCAGTGGCGTCGTCCTCCGCGTCATGGGCGAGTGGCTCCACTGTCATGGACTGGGGCAGCCCCGAGGAGGCCGAGCTGCAGAGCGGCGACGGCTTCTCCCTCCTCGTCTACGCCTGGAAGAACTAATGTGTGTGATGGGCTAGCGACGGTGGCGGCGGAAGCGGCTTGCCGGCATTGTTTCGATTGATGATTGGTTCGCAATTCAGTGACGATTTCTCTTCCCATTGTTGTAAGTTGCAATTGTTCAGCGAGCAATGTTCTTGTGCAGTTTTGAGTGCTCCACTGATCAAGCCATTTTTACCCTTCCTTCCATCGACTGACAACCAGAGAAATGAGCATCTGGAGAAACCATACTCTCATACTGTGTGATCCAGAGTCCATCACTAAATCAATCTTACTGTAGGTGGCCAATCGCTAATTCTACTACAAATCATTGGTCTGCTCCCTTAATTAGATATACATTGTGGACTTGGAATCGGATATTGATTTGGAGCTAAAACAAGTGATAGGCCTTAGTGGTTGAGTGACTAGATCTCTCGATTCAGAAAGAAAAAAAAAAAGGCGTAGCAAGTGCAGTGGACTTGGAATCGGATATTGATTTGGAGCTAAAACAAGTGATCGGCCTTAGTGGTTGAGTGACTAGATCTCTCGATTTAGAAAGAAAAAAAAAGGGGGTAGCAAAGATCTTCCGCTCCATGTTACCCTCGATCTTCCGCTCCATGTTACCCTCGTCTGTGCAATGCAAGGAGATCGTGACTCGAACCCGAGACCTTCCGGTCACATGTGGTAAGACTCTACCGTTGACACCAGGCCCACCCTTCTCGATTTAGAAAAAAAAAACTGCTGCGCTTTGTTTTCCATGTCTCCCGTGACATTAGGGACTTGTTTAGATACACTTAAAATTCCAAGTTTTTTCACTTTCTCTCCATCATATTAATTTTAGCCGAAAAAAAAAAATAACTAATTACATAGCTTTAGTTGGAAATCACGAGATGAATCTTTTGAGCTTTGTTTTCCATGTCTCCCGTGACAAATTTTTTCAATCTAAAAAGAAAAAGAAAGATTGGATTGCTCGGCTATTATTGGTAACTGCGAGCTTAATTGCCAATCATGGGCTGATTGATAGGTGACAAAAGCCGGGTTGTTTGGATGGCGACGTTCACATGCTGGTGCTGGTGCCCCGCTAGGATTGTGGCTGTCAGTTGTTCTCTGGGTACTGCAAGAAATGCAGCTGGATGACTGCTGGAGCAGTATCTTACTACTGTATCTCAGATTAAACACATCCTTCTCCATTGGGGGGAAAAAAGGTGTAGCCCAGAAGGTCCAGGCTTCTATAACTAGCAGTATCCCAGATTTAGACTTGTACGGTCGTGCCGATTAGGCGTCTAGTACACAAACTTGTAGTTTCAAAAAAAAAGGGCACACAAACTTGTTCCGTGATTTACCCAAAAAAATTTCACAGTTGTTGCAAGGAACTCTAGTTGAATGGACGACGTCAGGAGCCCTGGGCGCCTTGCAAAGATAAGGAAATGCCGTGGACCGGTGCAAAGCACTCTACTGAAATCCGATCACCTCTCTCCCTCTCTCTCGCTCGCTCGCTCTTTGACCGGAGCCGAGAGCAGATTATGCAGTCCTGTGCTGTGACGACCGAGCACGCCTTGTTCACGGCAACTCAACTATCAGCACGCAATAGTTGACCCGGATCACGGGATCAGACGCGCGCTGTATTCTTCGTAGCAGCAGCTGTGGTTAGTGCTGCTTCAGAGCAGGCTGCTTAGGTGTTGCTACTTTTTTTTTGAACTGTACTGTATTATTCTGGAAGGAAGCATCATGTGGCTGTCGCCGAAGCAACTGCTCTCTCCAAATTCAGCCCCGTTTCCTTGTGGTTCTGGGTGGAAGTGAAACCCCAAGTGTTGGCGGTTGTAGCTGGAGGCACGCTTGCGCTCGAAGTGTCCACCGCACGTTTTTGTAGCTGATGATGGAGCAACAACAGGGCAGGCGATCCGCCGCCCTGTTGCAGGTTGGGACAGCTGAACGGATTCGGAACTGTTGGATCACTTGGTCGATTGTTACTCAAACAATCAGCAGTCCGTATCTATATATATGACCACAAAATATATATAGCAGAGATGGCGTCATCAAATGGTTATTAAGCCCAGAGACGCCGACGCTGGCTGGCGCCGCAATCTGCGGTCCGGCAGCGGCAGGGAAGGGACGCGTCCATCAGGTCGCTCGCGCGGTGTATTTCCCGTGGGCGCTAGCTGGAAGTGGAACCCGTGTGCCCCTCCCCTTTAGGCCCCCAGCAGGCGTCCCCAAAGCGCACGGCCGGATGGGATGGCACCGGGGACACCAGCATGTGGACGGGGCCCCGTGGTGCCGGCCGTCGAAACGGCTTCGTCCTCTTTCGAGCGAGAGCGACTCCACGTTCCTGGTGTCTCCTAGACTCCTAGCTCGGAGCTGAGATCTCTCAGCAATCATGGTGCGCAGGAAAGGGAAGCCATCGTGCGCATGATTTCCTGCAAGTTGTCGCTGCAGCAAACAGCGAGCCTCTTCACTGGGTGGTTTTTGGCTGATAAACCCGACTGGTGTTTGTTCGTTGTGAAAGGAAAACGCTGATGAACCCTGACTGAAAACAACGAGCGGACAGGCTGAGCGATGCATGGCCTGGGGATCTGGCTGTGTGCGTAGGCTGTTTGATGGGAGCCAGACTGAACTGACTTAGTCTTTGCACAGAAACACTTCACGGCAGGTTCGAACATGAGGTGTTTGGTTCAAGATCCAATCTGAAAATATAGTTTGTTCACTGTTGGACGCTTTTCATGTTCTTTGTGAAATAACACCTAATCATTTTTGTGTTATAATATGAGTTGCTGGTAGGCCAACTCAATTCATTCCCCCAATCAAATGCAATTCATTCGTCGAACTAGGGCCATATAGCAACATGGGGCAAGCAAGCAACGCCAGTTGCTCCAACTTCGTCAGCCACACATAGTTATACCGAGCCGAAGTACACGAGGTACAGTTCAGTTCAGAGTATCGGCTGCAAGTGCACAGCTGGAGACACGGTGGGTACAGCACAACCGAATCGTAATAGCATTCAATCAACCAATATTGTACAAACACCAATCAATATTATCTGTACCGGTTGTGTGATCCCAAACTTACAACACTGTAATACCTTTGCTCTGGCAAACCTACTTCGACAGCCAGTAGATGAAGATGAGAAACACGCAGACAGATGCAACGAGCGAAAGAATGATAGTGTCCATGGATTTCTTCCTTCTGATAGACGAGAGAACGTGGTTAATCTGTAAGGTTGAGTAAAGTATCCATGAGATGTATATCCTAAGAAGGCATGGAATGGGCTTGATTGGTTATATCAGATGCGATACATACTGTTGGAAGACGGCTGCTGACGTTGCTTATCTTTGTAGTGATGCCACCAAATGTTGACCGTTGAGTCATGAGAGAACCTAGCGTTGCCTGAGCTTGTGATATCACGTTGTCCATCTGGTATCATTAAATATAACTCTTCAGGCATACAGATGATAGTATTCATTGTTGTGAAGTTGTAAAACATGTAGTATTCTAGAGAAAAGTAGCACGACAGAAGGCTTTCCCTGAAACAATCAAATTGATGGCTTTGCTATCTAACAAGTATATAAATAATATATTAGTAAGGGCAATAAATGCAACAGTAACAACAATAAAGCCTTTTAGTAACTAAATTGGAGATTAGTAAAGTCAACAAATGAGAAAACAAATAAAATCTTCTGTCTATAGATGATTCTTTCCCAATACCAGCAAACAAAGAGTACATCTTAATCGACTATCTAGCCCCCAGTACCAACCAACAAATAGAGTACACTTAATCTACTATACTATCTAGCTTCTCCACATCAGGCACAAATTTTATAGGTGCTTACTTTTTGCATCTTAACCATGCAATTGTCAGATCCCTTAAAAACTACAGCTTTTGTTCATTGTTGCCTATTGTTATCATGCCCAATTGTTCCTGGGCATATGCAACATGTAGGGTACCAACTGAGTCTATGAAGCAAGTGACACAAAAAATTGAGCAACAATGGTTAGTGCAACAAGAAGCGTCTGTTGGGCTAATTTGCAAGTATTTGCAAGCAGAACTGCAGAAACCCCTAGGCCTCCTAGGGTATCAAATTTATATCGGCAGGCAGAATTCCTAATAGTCCAACTATGAGTGCAGTGCACCCTGGTATCCATACAACTTGATAAATAACATTAAATACATTAATAGCAAGCTCATGAACTACATTACTTTTTTTTAGTCATAATAGTTCAACAGTTCATGTGTTACAATGTCACATTTTGTTTTGTAAGCCAAGTGTGCAGAAACTTTGGATTTTCCTAGTATACTGTTCATGTTAAGACACTATGAGATCTCGTTGGAGCCTAGCTCAGTAGCTCCTACTTCCTCTGGTCACAGATATAAGTCCATTAGTACATCAGCCTCTAGAAATATCTATAAAAATTTAGAGACCACTACCTCCGTCCCACAAAGAATGCAATTCTAGGTGCATTCTTTGTCGAAGTATCTAAAGTTTGACCAAATATATAAGGTAAAAAACATTAGCTTTTATTACACCAAAATAGGTATACTATGAAAATATATCTCATAACAAATCTAACAATATTTATTGATATCATAATCATTGATACATTTTTATATATAGTTAGTCAAACTCAAGATCCTTTAACTTCATACTATGCTAGAATTGTATTCTTTTCTGGTCGAAAGGCGTAATAATCAATAAATATAGTTTTGACTTAGGTCAAACCTAGACTATATTTGTGATTGAAAGACGGCAGGGGCTGCCCACTGGCGAGCACAGCCAGCCAGCGGGTGCTGGACGTCAGCGCGCGGTTGGCATGGCCAGGGGCGGCCCGAAGAGCGGAGGCAGCAGCACCATGGGTTCCATTGCTGCTCATGAAGGGGAGGAGGAAGGGAAGATGAAGAGGAGCACAGGGGGAAGGAATCTGGACTCTGGAGAGGAAGGTGCCCAGGGAAAAAATGGACAAAGCACATCGTTCCTCTCCTCTCGGGCTGGAAATGATTTATTTAATAGGTGTGGTGTCTTTTAGCAAATTAACAAAATGCCAGTGTGCCAACCAGCCAATTGCACTTTTTCCGTGTCGTCTAGCCACACAACATCACTTTCCAGGTCCTATATCAAATTTTGCCTTGAAGGAAGTACCCACAACACATAGACATAGTTTGTAACTTCAGATATCCTTAAAATCTTCCACAAAACATCATTTGCTCACTACCAATTGCAGTGAGTTTCAGCCTCAATGAGAACAGAAAAAACATTATAAAATCTGAATCATATTCCACCCCAACTATAGCCTCAAAGGTTAAGCATGTTTGACTTCCTGTTGGATGTGTAGTTTTTAGATAGGAAGCATTAATGGTATGGACCTGTGATATTTGGTTGTCAGCTTCTCAAAAACAATTGCTCTTTCCAAGTGTTGGCAATAAGAATAGTGAAGGACAACATGCTGAAAATAGGATTTGGGAACCAGTTAGCAGGAGCTGATGTTGATATAGCTTTATAACAAGAAGACTCCTTTTGCTTTAACTCTTTCATAGCCATGTACCATGAGTTAACCTATTCCATGCTTGTTAATTGTTAGTTCATGGTAAAACTCATTAAGCTCCTACGTCCTGAAACTGAGCGCACCAGTAGAAACTTACACTAAAGAATGCAATCAATCAATCAGCTTTTTGAGCCAGCAAGTGCAATTATTCCAGGTATGTCCAAAACCAAGGCAAGAGGTCCTAGGTGTTTTCTCTCAACAATAATACAGAGAAACTTGAAGCTTTCAACTTGTTCTCACTGAAGTACAAAACTAAGTATTGCACATGAGGAATGCTTGGTTGAAACTAATTACTAGTTAGACAACCAAAAGTGATATTATACAGACATATACTAAAAACTAGGCAACAACCAAGTGTTGTTTAAATACTATGGTCAGGCTGCAGAATTACTTGGTGCTCACAAACATATTGATATGGCAAACATGTTCACTCAAAAAGTACGAACCATTTGTCATAGGTGTAAAAGGTAATACTGGCATGGTAGCATGGGTCCATTTCTATCAATTTCCAAGGAGGGGTACCCATGGTTCTTTATTTAACTTCATGTAGTGAGTTCCATTATTTGACCCAGTGCCACGAAATCATCTTCCAGTAAGAAAGGGTAATGGAAGTTCTAGTCCAAATGTTTGGAATTCATATTGATGCTTTTTTACAGGAGTGTCCTTCCATATTGTTCTCTCAAGAAGAAATAGGAGAAACAATTGAAGGATGCCCGAAAGGAGGATATTCGTACCTGTCCAGTACTCCTGCCAATCGCAGCTTGTTCCCTGAGAAGAGCTTGATCAGCTGAGTCTGATGGATCTTCAACATCAAACTTTGCTCTGTCAAAATCTCTCAAGTCAAGGAGAGAAGCATGTTGTTGTTTCGCCCTGAGACTTGATCGAAGCCGATAGAATTCCTATATTGGATGAAACAAATCATGGTGTCAAAATGGGAGTACAGTCATGTCATATGTGGTGCCTTCTTAACAGTACATTCAAAGTAGTTATGATGAATGGAACTTAGTAATCTAAGAGGCAACCAGGACCTGAGTAAGGTCTTGCAAAATCTCCATATGACGAGTCAGAGTATGAGAAAGAACTTCAGAACCTCCTGATGATACCCACGTTTGCATTTGCGAATTTACTTGCTGTAACTGCTTCAGCGATCTTTCTATATCAGACTCGATATCGTTCTCTGAACCATCTGATTTCATAGAAACCAGTTTACGGTATGCAATCATTTGGTCATCTAACTGAGCTTCCAACCTCCTTGCCTGAAAGGGGAGATAATAAACCATTCAAAACATGGTAAACCTTACGCACCAATAACCAGACAAGACAGGAAAAACAAGAGTAGCCTACAGCATCATGAAACCATAAAGACATAAAGTTAGCTAATACAATATGCCATGTTTCGGAACATTGGCAGTCTTAAACGAGAGAGATTTTAAAACATATGGCGATAAAGCATAGAAGTGGGGAAAAACAGGCCACCACAGGTAGATGGATTGAAATCCTCTACAATCATATTACCTGTAAACATACATGGCTTCGTTGTGAAGACAGAGCAAGTCAATGAAAGGTTCATTTTAGAGCTGCAGGAAACGAAATCTAGACAGTATAGCATTCAATCAGTGCACCATTGCTACAGGTTGCCCCTTCACTGGGAGAAATGCTAAATGACGTTACAAGCGAACAACTAGACTACTAACGGATTGTCGAAACGAAGATACTGAATCCAATTCAACTTTTCTCGGCACAGCATTCACTCCGGACACGAGTAGCCTACGAATTCAGCGACCAACAGAGCAGGCTCCTCCAAATTCGTCCCTCCTCACTTCTGCGCGCCTGTATCCCCACTCCATCGCGGATTTGAGCCAGATCCCAAGTAGAGACTTGGGAGACACGCACGGGGCTACGCAGCCGCGAGAGCGGGACCGAGAGGATCCATGGAACTGCAGATGGGAAGAAAAAGCGCGTGGGATCCGAGGGCCGGGTTGTCACCTGCTTGCGAAGGGCGTCCCAGGAAGACGCCTCCATGGCCCCCGCTTCCTCCTCGTCTTCGGTGCCGTCCTAGCGGTTCGTCGCGTCGGGAGGACAGAGATCCCGTCGGCCCGCGCCCGCGGCCGCGGCTGCGACGCCTGGTCTAGATCTCGCGCGGGCGCGGGTGAGCGGGCGGGCGGGCGGGCGGCGAGCGAGCGAATCGGTGGGAGGGAAGAGGACGGGCGGAAGGGGTGGTTGGTGGTGGCCGAGCCTGATGCGCCGATGTGTTTGGCGAGGGAGATGCGTCAGGTCGGGTGGCAAGTGGCGTGGTCAACTCACCGACCCGGGGCGCCCGACCGTGCTCCTCCTCCGCAGCGCTGCCGAGCCGGGCGCGGTGCAATGCTGAGCACGGACCCAGAAATGTGCTAGGCCCGGCCCGAACCCCTGCCAGATCCTCATTCCACACGGACACGGGCGGACTTTCAATTTCGTAGGCCTGGCATTTGATAAGCTTGCCTGGCCACGGCTCCCACACACGAGGTTGCGAACGAAACAGCCTCTATAGTTCTAGTTCACAACACTTTTGATAGTTGCTTTCTGGTTCCTGTCTACCTCTTGCGAAGTGGGCTGGCTTTCTTTCTTGAGCTTTTACCACTAAATTGGACAGAGGTAGCATAAGAGAAAATTTCCTATTTGACATTGAAAAAAAATTTATGTTATCTTTTTTGGCACCCAAACTCAAAATCTTTCTTATTTCTTCATCCCTTTGATTTTCCTTTTCTATTTGACATTCTCGTCATCTCCATTAAACTTCACCGTGAGCTGCCCTTGTGGATGCCTACGTAAAGACCAAAATGCCCCTAAAAACTATGCATAGAGAAGGGAAAAATCGACTGGTTTCTCTTTGCTCAAACCCTAGTCGTACACGGAGGAGGTAGGGACGCGGTCGGCTAGCGCGTTGCCTCCCAGCGTGGGGGCTCCCGGCACGGGGCCACAGGCGCCCGTCATGGGTGCTCGGCCGCCCGGCGCGGGGACTCGGACACCCATGTCGAGGCCGCCGCCTCCCAGCGCGGGGGCGCAGCAGCACAACGACACATTGGGGACGGAGCAGCTAGGCTCAGGCACGGCCGACACGTCCAAGTCAGTTCGATTCAAATAGAAGTAGGATCAATAGTTTTCTAGGATTTAATGCACATGGTCGGTTCTCATGCAAATCGTTTTCATTTCAGAATCTTTGTGTTGGATTGAGATGGAATGGTTTTATTTTCTTATTTGCTTGGAGGAACGGGATGGATAGATGAGTTAGGCATTGTCAGGTGAGGTCCACATGACAGTCAAATAACCGGCCTTATCTTCTTCCTTCAGCCGTTGCCCACAGCCACATCATTCCCCGTCGCTGAGCAATTGCTCCCCAACCAATGCTCGCTCCAGCCTTCCCCATCGCCCCTGTCGAGCCCTTTGCCTTGTTCGCACTTCGGCCAATTGTGTCCTCTTCCCTGCTCACGAAGTCACACATCTAGTATCACTAGATAACCACAATCACTTATTTTTGGGATGGACTGCAATAACTTTAAAGTTCCCCTCTAAATAGAAAGGCGTGGAGAAAAGGGAGATGACAGGAGTATGTGGGAATGGAGAGGAGATGGCAAGGAGATACGCGTGTTACAGGCCGTAGTGGATCGCTGAGATGAAATGAAGCAGGCTCAGTCACGGGGTTCATCAGATTTTCGAGTCGTGGGAAATAGTGATGACTCGTTCATCCTGATAAAACTGTAACACCCTTTTTGTTAAGGTGGTACCTTATTTAATGTCCATAAAACTTCAATAATATTTTCAATAAGATTGGTCTTAGGCTAGTCTCACCCCACACACTAGGGTGGGTTTTATGTGCATTAATTATGATGTTAACTAAGTAAATGATACGAAATAAAGGATCTGTTTGGATCCATTAGCAATGTAGCACTAAAAATTAGCAGCTAAAATTAGTACTAGTGGATCCAAACAAACCTGCTAATTATTAGCTGGGGGCTACTGATTATTAGTTCCATTAGCAAGTTTAGAGTTGCTAATAGGTGCAATGGTTCATATGCACCTTCAACTCACTGTCAACCATCAATTAGCAAATGGATCCAAACAGCCTCCTCTTAAAAATTACAGTAGCTATCATTTTTTAAGTGCTAATGGATCCACACAGATCCTAAGAAAGAGAGAAGCCATTATGTGAGAACAAAGATAAGTGGATGGATAAATGGATTATAGGAGAGAGACAAGTAATTAGACAAAATTTATTTAAAAATTTATCTCTTCAAAATATGATTTCTGTGTGTTATTACACACGTCACCAGCTGTTGTAGGTGAGTTTCATCAGCCCAGTAGTCTTCGACTGGGCGGCAATCATGCCGATTTTTTTTATTTTTTAGCTTTTTTTAAAAAAAAATTCATAAATATACTCTAAGAGGTATGATTTTAAAATCTGGACCTTAGCTCGGCGCCATCGTTGATGACACCGAGCTTGCACACCTCGGCGCCATCGTTGATGACACCGAGTTCTTGAGCTCGACGTAGACGTGGCGTTGACTTGGCAGGCAGCTCGGCGCCGAGCTTGGCGCCGTAGATCTTGGCGTCGAGCTCGGCGCCGTAGATCTTGGCGTCGAGCTTGGCACCGTGGTCTCTGGCGCCAAGCCCTGTATTACGTATGGGCCTTCCCTTCCTTTCTCTCTTCCTCTCTCTCTAACGCTCCCCGAACCAGCGCTGCCGCCCTGCCGCCGCCGCCTGCCCGTGCTCGCGTGCGCCCGGTCGTGCCACCGCGCCCGCCCGCGCCACCTCGCCCCGAGGAGCGCCGGCCGTCCCACGCCCGCCACACACCACCCCTCCCGGTACGCTTTGCCTCATCCGTCCCGGCTCGTCGCGTCTGCCGCGCGCATAGGCGATCCCTCCGGTGACCTCGCGCGCACACGGCCCCTGCTCCCAGTGCGCCGCGACCTCGCCGTCGATCCCGTCCTCCACGTCCACGTTGCATCGTTGCATTGACTTGGACAGGTAAAAATTTTAAATATGCAATGTAGGTACTTAGCTTGAATTGTAGTGTTACTTAGATTATTTGATAGTTTCTAGTAATTGACATGATATAGGTAGTTGATTTAGTTAGTGAGATAGATATAGTTAGATAGCTAGTGACATAGGTACATACATATAGTTATTAGATAGCTAGTTGATTTTGTTAGTGAGATAAATATAGTTAGGTACATAGACATAATTATTTAGGGTGTAGTTGGTTAGTATCTATTAGAGAGGTACTATATAATAGCTACTTGGGACTAAACGAACTGTATTTTAATTTTTGTTTGAACTACTAGATGAACAATCTAGTGAGCATATCTCATGGAGGCACCATGGAAAGAGATCGCTATGGATATGTTGAGTTTGTTGAGATGCAAAGCATGCCTGTGTTATTCAATGAGAAGCCATCGTTTAGTGAGTTGGTTGCAAGGGCTCGGGAGGAGCTACATTGGCATGGAGCTGATGATGATGATGGTATCGCAGTGGAGGGTGTACTTCACCTAGGTTTCCCTCCCAACATCCTTAGGAAGATGATCCCAATTGGATGTGCAGACCAGTGGGAAAACTATGTTAGATCGGCTATGAAGTGCCAGTTCCAAAGTTTGGATGTGGTTGTGCGTCGGGTGTTAGTTGATCCCATCCCTCATGGGTTTTCCCCACCAATGGGTCAGCAGGCACACTTCGACCCTCCCGTCCCGAAACCTGATATGGATGTGGAGATTGCACCTATGGTTTTCGATGCTCAATCTGCCCCCAATATGCTAGTTGGAGATGCTTGTCAGACTCATGATGTTATGACAGATCCTCCTTATGAGATCCCTTTGACACAGAATCATCCGAGTAAGTGTCTTATCCGCATGGTTATTGGGAGCTTACCCCATTTCTTACATCCAATCTTTCATTCTTTCCTTATTTTTCTACTTATGTTGTAGTAAACATTCCTGACAATGTGGATGTGCCCACTGTTGCTGCGTAAAGTGCTTTGTGGAGATGGATTATGTGGCTCTAATAGTATTGAAATTATGAATGATTCGGAGCCATATGAGATGGCAAGGGCTCTTGATTCTGATGATGATCATCCTGTTGGAGACCTGACGAGAGTGATGTTGAGATGCTGAGGCGTATCTTTCCCGGCCACCGTGATCCAAGAGTTCACGAGTTCAACGATCTTGCTTATTCCAATTAGGCGTGTGTAGAAGGACGTGATGATGAGCTCCTAGAAGCTCCTAAGGCCAGCCCTAACATGGTAATTGAGAATGGGAGGGTATTCAAGGGTCTCCCTACATTGAAGAGGTGGTTGTGGGCATTTGCAGTGATACGAAAGAGACCTTACAAGGTCTTGCATTCATATGCAGAGTGTCGTTACACAGTTGTGTGTGACAAGGAACGCTGCCCATGGAGGGTTTGTGCAAGGAAGCAAAAGGTCACCAAAAAGTGGAAGATCACAAAAGTTATCGGGCCACATAATTGTGCTAACCATGTGCTAACATTAAAGCATCGGCAGTTGACATCTATCCTCATTGCCAAGCATTTGATTGGAATATTGCAGGGCGAACCCAACATAAAGGTTAGGACAATTATCAGGACCGTTGAGGCGTTGTATGGAGGTTATGTGATAACTTATGGTAAAGCTTGGAGGGCTAAGCTAGGAGCATGGAAGATGATATATGGGGACCGAGAGGATGGGTATGAGCAGCTGCCAGTACTTTTCAATGCAATCAAAGCGATAAATCCAGGCATGCATTATAAGTACATCCCAAAACCAAATGCATGGAAAGATGGGAGGCAGATATTCTTCCGTGCTTTCTAGTGCTTCCCTCAGTGTGTCGAGGCCTTTAGGCACTGTCATCCCGTCTTCTCCATTGATGGTACGTTCTTGATTGGCAAATACTAGGGCACACTTCTTATAGCCATATCATGTGATGCGAACAACAAGTTGGTTCATTTGGCATTTGCTTTGGTTGAGAAGGAGAACAATAACAGTTGGGGATGATTCT